TGTCGGGATCATTTTCGCACGCGAACTTTGATACAGTGAAATTAAATAATACGATTATTATATTTCTAATTGGAATATTTTTTAACATTTTATATTTAACACATCGCGTGCCGACCAATTTTCAGAAAACTGAATTGTACGAATGGCAATTTTCAATGAGACTATACGTACAAAAATTCAGATATATTGTTATGTAATGTATTTTAAATAGATAATCAATTCGAATCAAATTTAATATTTTTTTAAATGTTGTGGTAAATAGAAATAGTAAGTGTCTTTATAAAAAAACGAGATTTCTCGTTACCAGTACGCAATGAGTGAAATTTCATGAAACTTACGGATCTCCCATCGATCATAATTTACAAATTATTTTATCGCAAAGCGCTTAGTGTTGCAGAATGAAATATATTTAATCATTTCGTTACTTCATTTTCATTTTCTTCTGTTTTATATACGTTATATGTAGATCAGTGTGGGGAAATCGATCGTAGAAGGACAAACAGGCACGAGAAGAAAGTTCCCGAGGAAATTCCAGCAAGAAAGCTGACCGAATCGCCTCACCCCTTTCTCTCGGCGGCTTTTTGAATCGGGAACTCGATTGTTGACCGATCCGTCGAAGTGGATAAAGATAAGGGAGAAAAGATTCAGTGCGGATTCCGTGTTGCGGACGGTCCGCAACGCGGTCCGACTTGTTTTTCTCGTTCGGCACGTTTCACCTGACGGTTACGTCATAAGTTACAGTTGCCTAACTGTTCTCGAAATCTTTGCTCCAACATCGCGGAGAAATTGTTCACTTCTTCTCTCGTTTAGCGAAACGAATGATTTTCTTCTCGTTTAATAAACGATGATTCTTATAATTCCAACTTGCAAGGTTCAAGTCTCAACGAATCAATTTTAATAGTGAATTATTTATCGTTTACTAAACAATGGTTCTTAAAATTCAAACTTTCAAGGATTTCTAGTCTCAACAAATCAATTTTAACAGTAAATTATTTATCGTTTACTAAACAATGGTTCTTGCAATTCAAATTTGCAAGGTTCAAGTCTCAACGAATCAATTTTAATACTAAATTATTTATCGTTTATTAAACAATGGTTCTTAAAATTCAAACTTGCAAGGTTCAAGTCTCAACGAATCAATTTTAATACTAAATTATTTATCGAACTAAAAGGTGACCGGAAAAATTGATTAATCCTTGCTGAACATTTCCTTGCAGTTATTTACTAATTTCTCGTGTAGTTAATGTAATTTATTAATTGATCATTCATTTACGATTTCCATGGTAGGACAGAACATTTTATGACTCCTTGACAATTGATACAATCCCCCATTGGCCAGAAAATCCTCGTTTTACTGCGTTTTTCTTTCGGTTTCCCTCCACCCAATCATGTTCTCAAGTCCAGCTGCATTATCCATATTGATAACAATTATCCTGAGTGAGTTTTTATGCTTTCAAGACGCTCGTATCGATTCCTCTCGGGGTTAGTGGCTAGCAATTACCTTCAAGGCTTTTATGAACGACAATAGGAGATTTCTCCATCGCGGAGAATGCTTCGTATCGTTTTGTACTACGTCAGGTTTCAACAGAGTTCCGCTGATGGTATTACAAGTTCTATTGACCGATACTCGATTCTCGAATTGTTTAATTTCTGACAGAAATGTCCGTGATCTGTACGTCGAATTTTGCGACCACCTGCACATTTCGTTGCAACGTGTAAACGAAACAATAAATTAGTTTATCGATTGTTGTATTTCATTTGAATTTCGATTTCCGACAGGAAGTTCTTTTTACGGTTGTTCGGCGAATCTTTTTAGCTTTCCATTACTGAACGCGACGTCTAGTTCCCTATGATTTATCTACGTTCACAAGACCGAGGTTCGTATAAACAACGTATAAACAACACTAAGCGCGTGACAGTGATTTAATTAATTTTCATGATTGCTATAACGCGCACGCCATGAATGTAAACTCGATCCATCGCGCGGAATACGGAGCGTCCACCGCGGCCATATTTATCCCCCGGAAATGCAATATTGATTCAACGGAATGAACTACAATTGTTTGTTTGGTATTCTGTTTTCGGCTCGCAGATCTTTCTCAAATGGTGCTCGACGGGTTGGAAAACTATTAGTGCACGAAACAAACGAATGAATAAATAAATAAATAAACAAATAACTAAATAAATTCATCATTACTCACAATACAAGAATCAACTCTCAAATACATTCAACAACCGAAACCCTCAATTCCAGTCACAATTCGCAACCCTCATCAACAAAATTATAAATCAAAATTAAAACGAAAATTCTGCTTAAACTTCCACTGCGAAACGAAAAAAGTCAATATATTTAGTCCACTATTTTGAAGATTTTCAAATACATCGATGAGAACAATCTCGAACAACCGTTTCCTTCATACGAACCGTTTCTTTTGAAAATGGCTCGAGTCCGCTTGAAAAAGGTTAGAAAGCTATTAATAAAAAGATTCTATAGAACTGTAACTATTGTGGTATCGTAGTTTTGAGACAGTGGGACAGCGAGTGTTCTGAGGGCCATAAAAGAGGGAGACTGAAAGAATGATTTTTAAGTATGGTGAGAGATTTTGGAGAGAGTTGCGTTGGCCTGAGAAGAGAAAAGACCTGTACACTGCGAGCTATATCGTTTCTATTTATTTGTATTTTATTCAATTATCTATTCCTATTTTTTTAAATGAAACATTTAAATTCCATTAATACCACAGTATTATAACGGTTAACTCGATTCCTTGGAAAATAGACTTAAGCCACTTTCAAGATTGTCAACGAAAGGCTTCAGTTTCCAAGACAGTCGCGAGAAATATTTGCTAGTTAACATCGAATTTTTCAAGCTGACAAATTAATATTTCCATCTCGATGCTTTCACGAGGCAATTTCCACGATATGTACACGGCGAGCGCGAGGAGCCGTTTACCGCGTCCGCTGTCACTTTTATTCTCCCAGCGGTACCTCACGGAAGACGTAAAGTCGGACTCCCTTTGACCAATTTCTGTTTTTTATCGGCGCATAAACCGGAAATCCTGACGGCGCCTTCGGCGGGAAGGAGCCGCGAGACTGTTTGTCGAGCGCCGTTTAATTCCGGCGTATCGCGGCGAGAACCGTTGCCGCGGCGAAACTGTTATCCCTGAAATAAAAGAACGTTTAATGGATCAGGGTCTGCCTTCTGCGGCCGTTCGCTGACCCTTGATCAAAACGCTTCGAACAGCAGTATCGGCCGGAATGGGGGATCATTCCCCTTTAAGTCGGCGAATTATCGGCTGATCCGGAGCGGTGCTTGTACTTTATCGCGCCCATTTCCACGTCCGCTGGATTGATTCTGCTTGAGGATTGCCTGATTTAAATTATAGCCGGCCGGCTCGTATCATCGCATCATCATCGTTCGCCTTGTGATTTACGTTTATGGACACGCGAGACGCGGGACTCCTTACGCTCTGTTTCGATCGCTTCGAGAGCGGATTCCTGAATATTCGAGATTAACCGAGGTGTTCTGGAGGAATTGTTCGGTTTTATGTTAATGTATATCGATGAGTGAAGGATCTGTCTTTAAGTCACTAGGAAACTTATTGTTGCTGATGAATTGCACGTTTGGATATTTGCTTTGGAATAAGGTTTATTACATTCAATTTCTTTTGAGTTGCTATTTCATCATTTCCTTAGAGCAAGAGTAAAATTCTATTTTCTAATAGAAAATTTTTCTAGTGTTCTAGTGACCTAGAAATTTATTCACTTTATTGCAAATTTGGATATTTACTCATAAGATTTATTAGTACCTTCCATTTTTTTTTACTATTTTATCATTTCCCTAAAGCAAGAAAATTCTATCTTCTATTTTCTAGTATTCTAGTGTTCTACTGTTCTAGAAATCCATTCACTCTATTGCAAATTTTGGATATTTTTTAAAATAAGATTTATTAGTACATTCAGTTCCTTTCGAATTGAGTTACTATTTTATCATTATCTTAGAGCAAGAAAATTCTATCTTCTATTTTCTAGTGTTCTACTGTTCTAGAAATCTATTCACTTTATTGCAAATTTTGGATATTTTTCTAAATAAGATTTATTAGTAAATTCAATTTCTTTTTAACGAATTACTATTTTATCATTTCCTCAGAGCAAGAGTAAAATTCCGTCTTAATTCTATTTCATACACTACTTGCAACACACAAAAATGTAGATCACGGCGCACCTAGCCTACAATAAAAACGTTATCGAGGAAAAATTGAAGCAACAATGGAGAGGCAAGTTTTCCATCGTAAACAGAGGTATAAGGTGTTGAATAAATCACTGTTTACAAGGCTGTCCTGTCTGAGGAGTTCAATTACTTCTCGCTGCCCGTTTACGAGGATAGCTACGACGAGACTATATTTCCCGGGCGCTGCCAGTCGGGATTCGTTTTTCCTTTCTCCTCTTTTTTTCTCCCGCCGAACCCGACGCTTCTACCTTGTTCGATGTAACATCGAACGCATTTTCTCGGTCAGGGGCAGTTAATGGCTCGACTGCAGCCGCCCGACCGCGTAGATGGCATTCCGTAGATTTACGAGGCGACAGCTTTTACAGCCGCGTTCCGGGATTCGTAGTTTTACGCGTAACATCCGGCCGATTTCACGCGGGGAAATCATGTCTCTGTTTCGAACTGACAGCCCGTCGATCGATGTCAAAAACCCGTTTCCCCTCTGGCTAAAAGCCGGCAAACGTAATTGTTACAGTTTAATGACGAACTGCTACGGCTCCTGCGCCGTGTCCATTGACAAATTAGATCTGTCACGGTTATTAGTCCCGGTAATGAACAGTTCGATGTTTTCTGCTGAATTCATTATTTACGGGACACGATTGGAATTGTCGTTCTCAGGTCCATCAATGCGCGATTCGTTTCATCGAATTTGCCGTTTTGTTGTCCGCGACATAGAAGGTTTACGGTAGCCCGATAATGGTCCCGTTGCAAGTGATTTCCCGTTCTGTTACAGCCAACCATTTTCGGCACGGTGACGTCGGAGCCCAGCTTGAACCCGAAGGATGGCAACAGTCGAAGGGTGAGTGATATCAGATTCATCGGTCAATGTTCAGGCTCGTAATGTGCTAACAATGGAACTACCGAGCAAGTCAACCGTTTTTGTAAAGTTTCTTTATAAAAGCTAAAGACACTTAGCTATGCAACTTCGCTAATTACCACAGTATTGAAAAAATATAAAATTTAATTCGAATTGATTATCTATTTAAAATATACTACGTAACTATATGATATCTGAGTTTTTCTATGTATGATATAAGTTGACCTCAGTGAAAATTGCCATCACAATTCAGTTTTCTGAAAATTAGCCGGTACGCAATGTGTTGAGATTTCAATTGGTTTATATTTTGATTTAGGTATCACTGAATCAGCCTCTTTAATGATTTCTTAAAGTGTCTATAATTTTGCAATAATTGTAAAAGAAGACACGTGGAACTGATCATTTTGATTCACTCGGTAGTTCTAGTGTTAAAGTACCATTTACTACATGAATTTAATCAAAGGTTCTGTAATTAACGACTAAACCGTTCAACAAGTAAATCTGAGAGAACTATTTTCCAGATTTGTAATTTTCGCAAATTACATTCCTCATTATTTGCAACAGAATGATTTAAAAACTCTTGTTCACTTTATATTATTAACACGTTCATGCTACTTATGGTACAAGCGTAATTTCTGTAAGGACATTTTTAATGAGACATGCGTTAAAGAATAACGGTACACGCGAAACAACAGAAACGTAAAGAAATAATAAAATATCCGAAAACTCAGCAAAAACTTGAGTGTAACTGAATCCATTTAAAAAACCAGTGCACTTTATAAGCAAGATACAAACTTCCGGTGGCAAGGAATGCGTTAATATTCAAGTACTTTTACTTTGTCGCTGTCAAACAGAAGGCGATCCAATTTCCCTCGGACTGCCCCGCGTCCCGAGCCAAGTTTCCGGCTTCAATCAAGTGCAAAGTACTCCATCGTGATTCGCGAAAGTAAAAGTTCGAGATTCCGCGGAAAAACGGGGCACGTAATGCCACGATAATTTTTCGAGAGATACAAGTTGAGCGCAAGGAAATTTCGGTCCTTGCCGGGGGACGTGTCCCGCGGGACGCTTTCCCGGGTCTTAATGGGTAAAAATTGCCGGTAAGTCGCTGTTCCCCTCTAGCCTTAAATGCCCGAAGATAGAGCGTTCAAGCGGTCTAATTAAAAGTAACTGCGGTACCAAGCAAGTCGTTCAGCCCCAAAACCCTTCCCGCGGAGGGACTTTAACGTGCAAAGTCGCGAAGGCCGTGTCCGCTTTACGCCTTGCATAAATTCTTCATAATTGTGAAATCATGCAGAATATTGCGGGCTCCGGGGAACTGCGGAGAAAAAAAAACACAGGAGAAAGGTTCATTTTCACGAGAAACTTTTTATTAGTTCTATACACTGTCCTTGTTCCCCGTTTCTCGGAGCGGCGAGACGCAAATCGGAATCAACGGTGACCGGCGTTCGATCTTTTTCAATTCGTCGATGTATCTGTATCTCATTATCGACTAATTTATTGACAGTATGTTCGATAAAACGCATATTTCCGATTTAACCTCCGTTTCCGTCCTTTGTAGATTCGTTTTCGAGATGAAAGCTTTTACATTCGTTCGGAACCTGATAAAACTGTGATGCTTTAATTAAAGATACTGCGCATCCGTTAAATACACCCGACGGGGGATATTAATCAAGTATACGAATGTTTTCGAGGGTTCGGCGTACAACCGTGAAAGTTATTAATAAACGTCCCGCGTTTATTCCACGGATACTAAATATTCGACGTTACGACGCAATTGCGCGAAATGAAATTTTATTTTATTCTAATTTGAAACGGTCATTCTGTTCCTCGCAAACACGGCGAAATTAAAGGTTTCATTGAAAAATACGATTTATTGCTCGCTCTCGGATAAATATTTTTCAATCTATTCGCGTTATTTGCGCCGCTGATATGTGTCCGTTCCGCATGCAAAATTCGTAATTATTTCTTTAGAAGATACACGAGCGATGTCAAAAATTTATTACGCGATCGGAATGAAAAACCAATCAAAGATTAATTTCCGTAGTATTGATACAAGTAAATAAATATTCCCGTCGAGCGGAAGAATTGAGAAGCATTCGTGGAAAATGTAATTATCGGCGTCAAATTTTACAGAAACAGCGAAAAGGTTACGTAACATCGGATTAATAAATGGTATCTGTCAATATCATCAGTATTACGAATAATTACTATTACCAACGACTGCCTACAGCACAAAAATTACAAAAAAATCAATCAAAAATACACAAAGAAAATGTTTCAATCCAAATTATCAATTTCGATTATCGAAACAAAGAATTGTTTGCCATTTATAAGACAAACCAACGCGAGTTGCATATTTTCCATTTCGACGTCGAAAATTTTATGCATCGATTTCCGGTGGCAAAGGAAAACGCTCTCCAATGTATTTTTAATTTATCCAAAAACAGGAACGCTGTCGTGCAGCCTCGAAGTTTTCCGTGGACAGTGTAAATGCGGTTTTACCTTTCAGCCACGGCTGCAAACAAACCGGAGTGAAAATTTACCGGAAACGTCGCGTGTCGTCCCGATAAAAGTTCCACGGATCGAATAAATTCATGAATCTTAGATGCCGCCCGGAGAAACGGGTCCCCGAAACGTATCACAATCCCCGTTGCTCGACACGGTCGGACTCGAATCGATTCCAATGAATATTTAATTCATGATGCCCGATAAACGCCACGCTTTCCCGGCTGCCGATGTTTCCCGCGAACGTCTCGGCGAATGGGAGGTTTTTTCCAGTCGCGGAGAGCAGTCGTCCAATATGAGAGTGCGATGTTATTTTTATAAAAATTGATACTATTCGTATGATACGGAATTGTTGCATTAGCGGCCTTTATCTTCGAATTCAATGGAAAGCGTGTGATTTCTGAGGAAGTACTCGGATGCAAATGTATTTCAATATTGGAGGCTCTGGTAACATCGAGACGAGGAGTTGGTTGGAAGTCTTCTTAAAGAGGCTTTTTGTTGGCGAGCTATGATCGTTTATGGAGAAGATTGGTTCTACCATCGAGTGTAAGCTTATTAGTTTCTTAGGTGTGCTTTTCATTCAGGTGAGATATTCCATTCAGGAGAAATACCGCGATAAAGTAGTGAAAGTGGGAAGAATTAATCTGTCGAGGTGTATAATGTTCATAACAATATAGGCGGTAAAATCATTTATATTCAACTCGTGTTAACCAAGGTATTGAGATACGCGTTGGTGCAACAAATAGTCCATTTAATTAATATTCATATATACAATAGACACACCTGGTAACATATTCAAAATTAATTCCCAAACACCAGAATAAAAGACAGGACTGATAACATATTCAAAATTCGAACATCAAAATAAATATCTCCCTAGCACAAACGTTTATTCGATCAATTCAAATAAGAAAAAAAAACACGACTGTCAATATATTCAAGATCCGAATATCAAAATAAATATCTCCCCAGCACAAACGAACATTTATTCAATTAATTCCCAATTGAAAAAAGAAACAAAAGACGCAACTGGCGACGCGTTTAAAACTCGAACGTCAGAATAAATATTTCCACCGGTACACATAAATATCCATTACTCATACAAACACGCGCGGCGCCTATTTATCATCCGCCCCGCACGCCCACGCACCCGCATCGAAGACTGTGCCATGGGAATCGAAGAGCAGGGAGGGTCGAGGGGTTGCGGCAGGTGATCGAACGACTCCTGAAAGGGATGAAACGTAAATACGCGTGACGCCCGGCCCCGTAATGGATGTTAGCGTTTCGGAATGAGCGGCGGATCGTTTTGGATTTACATGTTCACACAGCGTGATTACGTCCGCGGGACGACAACACGCCGCGCAGCAGATTTCGCCGCGATACGTTTACCGAAATGGAAGAGCAAGCACTCTGCCGCTTGCGCGGTCATTGCCGCGCGCCGGGATTAATACGCGGGCCGCGGGAGTAATTTTCGTCGGATCCGCTAAACGCGCGTGTCGCCGGTCCAATAGAATCCCCGATCGACCGAGGAGCTGACTGGAAGCTCCACGCTCCGCCAGGAATTCTTCCCGTTCCCCCTTTTTCCCATTCTGAGCGTCGCGATTACTCTCGCGTTTTACTCCGATGCCGAGTAAAACGTCGCTGCCAGAAACTTTTGCTTTTTCTCGCATTGGCGTCTCGGTTTGCTTGAACCTCCGAGTCGTCGAGGTTTCAATTTGGTAATTAGTTCACTCGATGGAACGAGGAATAGGGGAGTTTGAAGGAATTTCGGGAATATTATCGGATTGTTCATTAAGTGGACAGATGATTAGAGAGGATTTTTATGGTGAAATTTGAAAGCGTTCGGGAGGAGTTTAGTTGTTTTGACTTGGGAATAATCTATTTATGAAAGAAGTTTTGTTATGGAGATTGGAGAAATTGGTTTGCTTGAATTTCTGAGTTGTCGAGGTTTCAATTTGGTGATTAGTTCACTCGACGAAACGAGGAATAGGGGAGTTCGAAGAAATTTCGGGATTATTGGATTGTTTATTAAGTGGACAGGTGATTAGAGAGGATTTTTATGGCGAAATTTGAAAGCGTTCGGGAGGAGTTTAGCTGTTTTGACTTGGGAATAATCTATTTATGAAAGAAGTTTTGTTATGGAGATTGGAGAATTTGGTAGTTTATGGTTTTTTAGTTATTTAATATTGAATATTATTTTCTTGATCTATTGGTTTTGTGTTTTGAGCGTGGAAGATGTTCTGAATGATTCTGTTGTTTTCTATTAAGTGAGTTCTAGTATCGTGTTCATAATTTGCACGGGATACTGGGTGCAAGGAGATCCTCCGTTATCAATTTTACTGGCGCACTGATACGCGGAAGAACGTAACCCGTTTCATTATAAACATAAACGTGGTCCTATCTTGTTCTTGCACCCCAATCCATTAAACAGGTGGATTGGGAGCTATAAGCGCCATAACGTCGACGATAATAGCGGG